GAGAGAGAGAGAGAGGGAGCAGATTGTTGAAGTCTTTCTCCACTTTAATGTGTTTTCCTTGTGGATACAGGTTTGTGATTCTGTGAGAGCCCAGAAGCAAGGAATCAAGGATGTCCCGTGATGGGGTGGTTCGAAAGTGCACCACCATCCCTCTTCTTGGCTCTTCTCTTTTACCTTTTGCTTCTTCTGTCTTCCCTTAAGGCCTTTTCCCCTTTGAGCTCATGGGAGATGAAAGAGACTACTATACCTCCACCAGCAGTTCCCACCTAATACCTTTACCGTTTCCCTCTCCCACTGTCTCTTGTTCCTGTCAGCTTCTTCCGCACCACTGGTTAATCTGAACCTGCTCCTGCATATCTTAAGAAGACCCTTGGCCTCTTCTGGGTTTGTTTACTGCAGGCAACTTGACATTTCGATAACCATGACACACAGCAACTGCGTACGTGAGCTTGGAACCATGCATGCAACCGGGCATTCACGTAGAACGTTGCACCAATTGCACAGCTTCTGCACTTCTTTTCCTTTCTCTGGTATCATTTGTTTCCTGATATATGTTGGGCAGTGTCGTTGCATGAGATGGTGAAGAGCCTTTTGGGTCTTAGTTCCAAGGACCCTGCGTAAGAAAACGGAGACAGAAGTCCAAATTTGAAGGGACCATTACATGGTATATATATTGTATGAACATTTACTATGGGATAGAATGACGGTAAGCTCACCGCAGTCATATACTGGCGTTGGGTAACAACAGAAGCCCGCCGTCCGTAAAAGCGCATCACGATCTGGATTCTTCTCACCACACTCGGTAACTACATATGCAAGCGCAGTCATATACTGGCGTTGGGTAACAACATGGTTGTGATGCGCTTGCCTCAACTAAGGAGCATTCTCCCTGCTCCCTACCAAATCAAAACGTGTCAAAATTGTTAGCAATTAACTTGCATATGTAGTTGTTGACCATGTAAAATTCACTATGAATTAATGCAATGAAATGGATTCTCCCATTTGACCAAATGATCTGCGTGACACTGTAGATATGTAATTCTCCTCATATGACTTCAACTTGTTTGTTCTCATCTAAAAACACAGGCATGCACTTATAGTTACATTGTCACCTACCACATGGATCTGCAATAGATATCCAGAAGGCAGAGAAGTCAAAATTCTGAGAATGAATGAGACCTCGAGAAGTCAACACTAACTCTAGTGATTTGTTGATGATGGAGAAGTTGCTGTAGAGGGATTCTCATGCTCATCGTTAACCACATCCTGTAGTTCGCTGCTACTCACAGAGCTCATCTGGTTTTTTGTGGTCGTGCAGGATGAGTTCTCAGCTATTGTCCATGAAGATTCTGAACCCCTTGTGTAGGGAAAGACCAACGATGGCTGTTGAAGGGGCAACGCAGCCACAGATGGGTGATCAAATTTGCAAGTTGCACCAAACTTGCCGTTTCCGTAGGTAGCGCAGAATGTGCAGGGACGCTCGCCCTTTTTTATAAAGTAGAAGGTAGATGAATCAGAACAAGAAAAATGACAAGATAATAGCATGTAGAAACGCCAGTAAAATAGATAGATGGCCAAGGAAAAGAATTTACTGGTCTGAGAGGAAGCCCAAATGGTCCTTTGGTGCATGCAACTACTTGGTGCCTCTCTTTAGGGTGATGATACTTGCGAGAACTACCATATTTGCAGCTACCTGTTCTCATGAAATATCGGCAATCTGATCGACCGGGTCTCTCAGGGAAAGTAACTGCCATGCTTGAGCCTGGCTGTGCATGATGCTTTGAGTTGGCTCTGTGATTAGGACGAAGAGTACTATTAGAAGGAATGCTTAAACTGTCCCGGTTGACATAGTAAGGATACTTATGTATGAGTATACTCTAATGTCAGCTACAGAAAAAGATGCTACTCCAGTAAACAAAAAGAAGCAAACGATAAATGAGACAAAACTTCATGAAAACACAATTAACGATACAAGTAAAAGTCTCAGGAAGAGTTTGGAGTCGCACGAAAAATTGATTTGTACCTCGATGAAGTCTGCATAAATCTTGGCTGAAAGAGAAAAAGCCTTTATGAATTCTCTGTTGTTCTTAAAAACATTTTAACAATAATTATAACCAAGTGTCACATGGAAGAAGTGTTCAACAATTGCAAATGGAAGTAGCGAAGCAGTTTGCAGGTGTCAATGACAGTATTAAGTCTGTTGAAGTTGTCACAGTCCACCTAAATAATATTAAACAGGTCCTGAACATGTTTAGAAACTGACTAGGCAAATCTAAATGGTGAAGAATAAGGCTGCAAACATTGTTACGTGCTAGTTCACAAGATATTCAATCAAAGGGTCATGATGTCTGGTTAGGTGTATTATTCAGCATGATTCTAAACAGATGACAGATAGTTGGATTCAAGTCAAGTCAACCTTGGTCAACTTTAAACAGACGTGAAGTTTCCAGACAAATGTAGCTCTAATCAGAACTTGATCTTGACATGAACGTGTCGATATCCTGTAACTTATATTTCAAACAGTAAATTTCTTCATGATAATATTAATAACGATGAAGCAAAAGAAAGAAGGTTGATATCACATAATTAAAAAAAAAGGAGAATATTTAATTAGCATCAATGTGAAAGCATCCTAGTTTCAAGTCTGCTAATAAGCAGTGACAATTCAACATATCATCATAAATATACAAGGTCGACAAGCAACTTTATCAAAACCATGTGGACAATCTCATTGATTTCAGCATTCCAAGGAATAAATGCTAACTATGTATGTGCTCCACCCTGGTGGTGCATGGGCATGGTGGAAGAATGAGAGGCGTATAAGCTAGGAATCCATGCCTTTTAGGTCAAGACATGGAAGAGTTCCATGACAAAGGCCATCAACCAGCTAAAGATAGTGCTATTGCCGATGCACAAGATCCAGTAATATCCATATACTGAGGGCCCTGGTACAGGAAACATGGTTCCAACGTTTGTAGGCTGAGGATGATTGAACTTGCAGGCAACTACAAATTTATATGATCCAGCTTTCATGTAGTACGGACATGATTTTTCATCCTGTGGAACCAACACGAGATATTTGTTAGGATCAAGAGCATTAAGAGGGGAGGGGGTGAATTAGTGCAGCGGAAAACCTTCTACGATAAAAACCGCGTTCGTTCAATAAAAGTGATTTCGGTAAGAAAGCCGATTCGTAAATCACTTTAACTTTTGATGACGTTAAAATCAATCTATGAAGGCAGTTTGTAGTTATGATGAAAACCAGAATATAAGCGCAAACTGAAATACGACGTTCGTACGAAGAAGCTGATTTACGTCTAAATGCTGATTCGTAAATCACTTGATTAGGTGAGATGCAGTTTAAGCAAGGATATAAAGGCAGTTTGCAGTTATGATAGAAATCAAAACGTAAATGCAAACTAATTCGGAAAGTGCAAAGCTTGAAACCCGATCGTATATGCGCAGAAAGCAGTAAGCTTTAGAGGAGGTTTGCAGTAAAGATAATATGCTCAAAGTAAATGCAAACCGAGATTTAGAGTGGTTCGGTCAATCTTGACCTACTCCACTTTTGGCTTCCTCCACCGATTAGGTCACCGACGTCAACTAGAGGCCTTCATTCAATAGGGGAAGGCTAACCACCCTTTTACAGTTTCACTCCTTTTGACGGGCTTAGGAGACAACCCTTACAGAATTTTCTCTCCTCTCTTTACAGCTCAGAACTTGGAAGAAAAGAGGGAGAAGAACTTTTGGCCTTTACAACAATTTTGAGCTCTAAGAATCACAGAAAAAGATCAAGATTTTGGTGTGAGTTCATACCCTTTCAGTGCTGAATGGGTGGGGTATTTATAGGCCCCAACCCAGTTCAAATTTGGAGCTCAAAACTGTCAATTCCCGAAATTCCGGGATCAGGCGGTTGCACCTCCTGACTGGAGCGGTTGCACCGCCTAGCAGAGCTCGAAGACTGAGCCTCTAGGCAGTGCTACCTCCTATCAGGGGCGGTTGCACCTCCTGGCAGAGCTCGAAGACCGAGCTCAGGCGATGCAACCTCCTGACTGAGGCGGTTGCACCGCTCAGCCGATGCTCGGAGACCGAGCCCAAGCGGTGCCACCTCCTATCAGGGGAGGTTGCACTGTCCAGTCTCGATCAGAGACTAAGCCTAAGCGGTGCCACCTCTTGGCTGGGGCGGTTGCACCTCCCGCCAGAAATCAGGGTCCGAATGGGTTGATCCATTCGGCCCAATTTGGGTTTTTTAGGGGCCCAATTGCCCCAAGATTAAGTTAATGGGATCACCTCCCATTGCCAACTTAATCATTGTGCTAACTATGATTTTCCTAAGACATTTACTGCAACTTGCTTCAGTGCGTCAATCGCTTCTTTCGGCGAGCTTCCGGCGAACTTCCGTCGATCATCCGATGAACCCTCGGTGATGCTCCTGCGGACTTCTGGCAAACTCCTGGACTTGCAACGATCCACTTGGCGAGTTCCGACGAGCTTCTTTGGCAAGCTCATGGACTTCTCGGATTTGTTCCCGTAGAACCTCCGACGACTGTCCGAACTTCCGTCGAACTCTCGAACTCCCAACGTGATCATTGTCTTGACTCCCGCGCAACTCTTGCTGCATGTCTTTCTTCTATCATAGTTAATCCTGCACACTTAAAATAAAACTTCGATCGAGACAATTAATCCTAAGCAATTAACCAAGTTGTCCGGCTTATCATTAGTCCCTCGACGCTTCGTCCGATCTTTCGGCGCATTGTTAGTTCCTTTCTTATTTTAAATAATTTTACCAAAGGCAAGGTTGATACTACATTGTTTATTAAATATTTTGAAAATAATTTTCTTATTGTGCAAATTTATGTTGACGATATTATTTTTGGCTCTTTGGATGAATCACTATGTGAATCATTTGCCAAATATATGAGTCATGAATTTGAAAT